AAAGCTACAGGAGAAGGAGACCCTTGTCGTCCAGGTCGCAAAGCTGGAGCTGCAGCTGCGGGACAAGGAAAGCCTGGTGGTCCGCGTCACGGAGCACAAGGAGACCCTGGTCGTCCGCATCACCGAGATGGAGCAGACGCTCCAGCAAAGGGAGAGCGTGCTGGTAAGCCTCCGTTCGGAGCTGGAGCAGCAGCGCAAGAGCTGCGAAGAGAGGTGCACCGTGTGCGACGCCAGCGTGAAGAGGTGTGGCCAGATGGTCGAGATGTGGAAGGCCCGGGTGGTGGAGCTGCTGGGCGCCGTGGAGGAAGACAAAGGGGCTGTTTGGATCCCAGCGTAAGCGTGCCACGCCTAAGGTGAGGCGTGCCACAGCCCCTTAGGCGTGCGTTTGGTTCTGAACAAAAGTTAGGCTCGCCATAACGTCAAGGGTCGTCCGCCGCTGAAATTTCGCCAAAAAGTGTGGCGCTCGTTTCGCCCGCCACACTCGCCGCGGCGCGCCAACTGAGCCACAAAAATCCCCGCGAACTGATAAAAGTCACCGCTTTCCTGTTCGTCCTCAGTCCAAAAATCCCTCACCCCTTCAGTCTTGACCCCATGGCTGAGAGCCCTTCTCTCTCCCCTTCCAGATCCAGCTGAGGACGACCTTGCCGCCGCACTCGATCTGCTCCTCCCTGGTACGAATCCTCATCACCGCAGCATCTATCTCCTCCACCTCCTCCATCTCCTCCATCTCATCACGTCAGATTCATCTCATACATGCAGATCTGGGCGTCCTTGATTTTCTCAAGAGAAAAATACCAGCTTTCTTCCGTGATTTGTGGGATTTCCCGTTGCTTGTTCCTGCCCTTGTTGCATCCAGACTAGGAACTTCCATCTCATAGTGAAAGGTCAACTATTTGTTAAGAGGAAAGGTAACACCGTAATCCCCCTTTGCAATTGTTGCATGCTTGTACGAGTGAGATTATAAGTTAGTAATTTCTTGTAACTATGTGGTGTTGATGTAAGATTTGACATCTCTCTGTGTTCTTTTCTTAGATATGTATTGTACAATTTATTGTCTGAGTAATATACTGTCCTCTGTATAATTTGCGTTGGATAAAAAATTTATATATAGTTCCACTCACTGATGTCATCTGATTTTTTAATGCTATTATTGTTTCATAGATGGACCAAAGAACATTATGCTTACAGTAGTACATGCATTATTATCACTACTACATGTGGAGGAGAAGATTGCTTGCTGCCATTATTGTGTGTTTAGGGATGTACTGGTACAAGATTAATGTCCGAAAAAGGAAGAGAAAATCTATAACTTATGCTCCCATGTTCGAACGAGATGTTGAAAGGATGTCACGCCTGAACCGTATGTATTATGGAACTGAGGCTAATTGCATAAGTGAGCCGCGCATGCGGAAATTTGTTTTTCACAAATTGTGTGCCAACCTGAGACGTCGTGGTCTACTGGTAGACACATTCCATGTAACTGTGGAGGAGCAAGTTGCCATGTTCATCCATGTTGTGGGTCATAACTGGAAAAATAGATCGATTGGTTTCGAGTTTTATCGATCGGGCGAGACTGTTAGTAGGTACTTCAATGCTGTTTTAGATGCCCTGTGTCTCCTTGCTCGTGATGTCATATGCATCAGAACCATCGAAACACATTCGAAGATAACAAGTAGCTCCAGATTTCACCCTTACTTTGAGGTACATCCAAAATTATTCACAAGTATCTGCAATGTATTTATAGGTTCCATTCAGTCTGTTTGAAACTGGTTCTCTCTTTTCGTAGGGATGCATAGGAGCTCTGGATGGTACTCATATACCGGCATGTGTGCCAATCCACATGCAAGATAGGTTTAGGGGTAGAAAGTCCTTTCCCACACAAAATGTGCTAGCAGCCGTTGATTTTGACCTAAGATTTACATATGTTCTTGCTGGATGGGAGGGATCGGCTCATGATTCTTATGTGCTCCAAGATGCCCTATCACGTCCCAATGGCCTTAAAATACCAGAAGGTGGGATTCTAACCCATGGCTTCAAACTGAAACTTTCTTTAGTTCTTAGCTAATGTGTTAGCATCATCATGATGTAGGTAAATATTTCCTAGCGGATGCGGGATATGCTGCAAGACCCGGTATACTACCCCCATATCGTGGTGTCCGATATCACCTAAAGGAATATAGGGGAAGTAGAGAGCCTGAGAACCCAAGGGAGTTATTCAGCCATCGCCATTCCTCACTTAGAACAACCGTCGAAAGAGCATTTGGTACCTTGAAGAATCGATTTAAAATATTTGCAAGTCAGCCATTCTTCCCTCTAAAAACACAAGTAAAAATTGTGTTTGCTTGTTGTGCGCTCCATAACTGGATCCTAGATGATGGTCCTGATGAGTATGTCTATGATGATGCTACTTGGTACTCGGCCCTTCCACGGAGTAGACGACACCGTCGTGACGTCTACCAGGAGAGCCAGGCATGGGCACACAAAAGGGATGTACTAGCTCAAAAAATGTGGGAGGATAATTTAGCAGCTCAAGATCAAGATGATTAAGAAGTTAGTATGTAAGGCTGATGTTGATGGGTTCAATTTTAGGTTCCATTCAGTCTGTTTGAAACTAGAGTTCTGCCTTATTTCTATGTATCAAACATGAGTGCTATTTTGTTACATTTGGTCATTATGTATGTGATTCATGTGAAACTATGTTGGTTGTACCTCTGTAAACTTATATCACTTATTTTATCTTTAGTAAATTATTGGTTGTTTCATGCTTATTTGCCTCACCTATTATCTTTTAATTAAAATGGCTCACTGTATGAGAAACAACGATGGCCAAGGGAAAGGGGAAGTCTGATGGTGATGGGTGCTCTCGTGAGAGGACTATTTTCTGGGTTGATGATCAGACCAAGTTTATGTTGGATTGGTGCATTTAATACATGAAGGAACAATATGCGGGATTTAGGTTCAGGAAGCATCATCTTTTGAAGTGTGCTGATGCTTTAAATAGAAAATTTGCTATGGGGGTGACACTTGCTCAAGTTGATCGTCACTTCAGGCACTACAAAGAAAATTGGAAGTACATTGCCGCCGCAATTAGCAAGAGTGGCAATGTTTTCGATGATATTAGATGTGTGATAACTATCTCCGAGTCTGAAAAGTCTTGCCTCAATGTACGTATAATTTAGTTTCTTTTTAAAACTTAATATGGCTAATTTAATTAGGATCTTAATGTGTGTGTGCTTGTAATGCAGGATAGAGCAAGGCGCTTGCTTTCTAAGCCCATCAAGTTCTACTATGAGATGCAGGACCTATTCACAGGCACTAGTGCTGATGGTTCTTTGGCCATGGACCAGCATACATGCACAATTGATTCCGATGACTCGGACAATGATGAAGGGTTGTATGATCTCAACTGCTATCCACAGTATGAGGGCCCTCTTGAGGAGGATTCTGACACTTTGCCAACAACACATTGTCCTAAAAGACCTCCAGTACCTGTAGGTGGTGATAATTCAACATCTCGCACTAGCCGAGTTGGTAAGAAGCGCCCAAGAGGTAGCAAGTCACCTACTAAGAAGCCACTAAGAACCAAGAGTCGTTTCATGGAGTCCGCTGAAGAAATCAACTCTACATTGAGGTCACTCCAGCAATCCCTTGCTGCCGCTCCTCCTCCAATGCCCCAAGTTGTTGATCCTTATGCTAGTTTATGGAAGAGGTTGAAGGACCTCCCAATTACCACAGATCAAAGAATTACTGTTGGTGTGCACTTATCTTGCAAGGACAATGAAGGTTTGTGTGGTTGGTTATGCAGTGCAAGTGAAAAAACTTTTGAAACTTGGGTTTGCAAGTTCTTTGCTGACAAAGATCATGTTTATAGCAACATGTGAAGTTATCTAGTTGCTAACTTGTCATGTCTAGAAGTTGGCAACCTGTGAAGTTTAAAAGATGGCAACTTTTGGTATTTAGGAGATGAACTTGTGCTACGGCTACTGCTTTTGGGAAGTAGATCTTTTGATGTGTGGTGAAACACTTTAATGTAACTTGGCCAGAACTTGTGTCATTGCTATGAATGACTATCACTTGACTTTATAATGATGGACGAAACTTGCACGTATCTATCTTATTTTCTATCTTGATTATGAGTTTGCATTTTGAATTATTTTGTACAGATGGGATTAATAGAAAATGCTCCATGTTACTTTTTATGGTTATTATTATTGCGACAAAATCTTCTTACATTTACTGGAGCATGTTGTAGTATGATTGCTTTGCGAGACAAATGGCAAGTAATCTCATCACCGTGGAGTCTAGCAGTAAGGTGATTCTAACCACCTGTGGCAGGAAACCGTGGCAGAAAACCAAACGCAAACCATAACTTTTTGACAAACATTTGTGGAAGCCATCCAAACACACGCCACACAAAATCTGCCACACCTAACCTAAGGCATGGCTACCAACCAAACAGTTTGATTTTGCCACACATTATGGCAAGCCACAGGTGTGGCTAGTAGGAAAAAAGTTATGGTTGCGTTTGGTTTTCTGCCACGGTTTCCTGTCACAGGTGGTTAGAATCACCTTACTGCTAGACTCCACGGTGATGAGATTACTTGCCATTTGTCTCGCAAAGCAATCATACTACAACATGCTCCAGTAAATGTAAGAAGATTTTGTCGCAATAATAATAACCATAAAAAGTAACATGGAGCATTTTCTATTAATCCCATCTGTACAAAATAATTCAAAATGCAAACTCATAATCAAGAAAGAAAATAAGATAGATGCGTGCAAGTTTCGTCCATCATTATAAAGTCAAGTGATAGTCATTCATAGCAATAACACAAGTTCTGGCCAAGTTACATTAAAGTGTTCCACCACACATCAAAAGATCTACTTCCCAAAAGCAGTAGCCGTAGCACAAGTTCATCTCCTAAATACCAAAAGTTGCCATCTTCTAAACTTCACAGGTTGCCAACTTCTAGACATGACAAGTTAGCAACTAGATAACTTCACATGTTGCTATAAACATGATCTTTGTCAGCAAAGAACTTGCAAACCCAAGTTTCAAAAGTTTTTTCACTTGCACTGCATAACCAACCACGCAAACCTTCATTGTCCTTGCAAGATAAGTGCACACCAACAGTAATTCTTTGATCTGTGGTAATTGGGAGTTCCTCCAACCTCTTCCATAAACTAGCATAAGGATCAACAACTTGGGGCATTGGAGGAGGAGCGGCAGCAAGGGATTGCTGGAGTGACCTCAATGTAGAGTTGATTTCTTCAGTGGTCTCCACGAAACGACTCTTGGTTCTTGGTGGCTTCTTAGTAGGTGACTTGCTACCTCTTGGGCGCTTCTTACCAACTCGGCTAGTGCTAGATGTTGAATTATCACCACCTACAGGTACTGGAGGTCTTTTAGGACAATGTGTTGTTGGCAAAGTGTCAGAATCCTCCTCAAGAGGGCCCTCATACTGTGGATAGCAGTTGAGATCATACAACCCTTCATCATTGTCCGAGTCATCGGAATCAATTGTGCATGTATGTTGGTCCATGGCCAAAGAACCATCAGCACTAGTGCCTGTGAATAGCTCCTGCATCTCATAGTAGAACTTGATGGGCTTAGAAAGCAAGCGCCTTGCTCTATCCTACATTACAAGCACACACACATTAAGATCCTAATTAAATTATCCATATTAAGTTTTAAAAAGAAACTAAATTATACGTACATTGAGGCAAGACTTTTCAGACTCGAAGATAGTTACCACACATCTAATATCATCGAAAACATTGCCACTCTTGCTAATTGCGGCGGCAATGTACTTCCAATTTTCTTTGTAGTGCCTGAAGTGACGATCAACTTGAGCAAGTGTCACCCCCATAGCAAATTTTCTATTTAAAGCATCAGCACACTTCAAAAGATGATGCTTCCTGAACCTAAATCCCGCATATTGTTCCTTCATGTATTCAATGCACCAATCCAACATAAACTTGGTCTGATCATCAGCCCAGGAAATAGTCCTCTCACGAGAGCACCCATCACCATCAGACTTCCCCTTTCCCTTGGCCATCGCTGTTTCTCATACAGTGAGCCATTTTAATTAAAAGATAATAGGTGAGGCAAATAAGCATGAAACAACCAACAATTTACTAAAGATAAAATAAGTGATATAAGTTTACAGAGGTACAACCAACATAGTTTCACATGAATCACATACATAATGACCAAATGTAACAAAATAGCACTCATGTTTGATACATAGAAATAAGGCAGAACTCTAGTTTCAAACAGACTGAATGGAACCTAAAATTAAACCCATCAACATCAGCCTTACATACTAACTTCTTAATCATCTTGATCTTGAGCTGCTAAATTATCCTCCCACATTTTTTGAGCTAGTACATCCCTTTTGTGTGCCCATGCCTGGCTCTCCTGGTAAACGTCACGACGGTGTCGTCTACTCCGTGGAAGGGCCGAGTACCAAGTAGCATCATCATAGACATACTCATCAGGACCATCATCTAGGATCCAGTTATGGAGCGCACAACAAGCAAACACAATTTTTACTTGTGTTTTTAGAGGGAAGAATGGCTGACTTGCAAATATTTTAAATCGATTCTTCAAGGTACCAAATGCTCTTTCGACGGTTGTTCTAAGTGAGGAATGGCGATGGCTGAATAACTCCCTTGGGTTCTCAGGCTCTCTACTTCCCCTATATTCCTTTAGGTGATATCGGACACCACGATATGGGGGTAGTATACCGGGTCTTGCAGCATATCCCGCATCCGCTAGGAAATATTTACCTACATCATGATGATGCTAACACATTAGCTAAGAACTAAAGAAAGTTTCAGTTTGAAGCCATGAGTTAGAATCCCACCTTCTGGTATTTTAAGGCCATTGGGACGTGATAGGGCATCTTGGAGCACATAAGAATCATGAGCCGATCCCTCCCATCCAGCAAGAACATATGTAAATCTTAGGTCAAAATCAACGGCTGCTAGCACATTTTGTGTGGGAAAGGACTTTCTACCCCTAAACCTATCTTGCATGTGGATTGGCACACATGCCGGTATATGAGTACCATCCAGAGCTCCTATGCATCCCTACGAAAAGAGAGAACCAGTTTCAAACAGACTGAATGGAACCTATAAATACATTGCAGATACTTGTGAATAATTTTGGATGTACCTCAAAGTAAGGGTGAAATCTGGAGCTACTTGTTATCTTCGAATGTGTTTCGATGGTTTTGATGCATATGACATCACGAGCAAGGAGACACAGGGCATCTAAAACAGCATTGAAGTACCTACTAACAGTCTCGCCCGATCGATAAAACTCGAAACCAATCGATCTATTTTTCCAGTTATGACCCACAACATGGATGAACATGGCAACTTGCTCCTCCACAATTACATGGAATGTGTCTACCAGTAGACCACGACGTCTCAGGTTGGCACACAATTTGTGAAAAACAAATTTCCGCATGCGCAGCTCACTTATGCAATTAGCCTCGGTTCCATAATACATACGGTTCAGGCGTGACATCCTTTTAACATCTCGTTCGAACATGGGAGCATAAGTTATAGATTTTCTCTTCCTTTTTCGGACATTAATCTTGTACCAGTACATCCCTAAACACACAATAATGGCAGCAAGCAATCTTCTCCTCCACATGTAGTAGTGATAATAATGCATGTAATACTGTAAGCATAATGTTCTTTGGTCCATCTATGAAACAATAATAGCATTAAAAAATCAGATGACATCGGTGAGTGGAACTATATATAAATTTTTTATCCAGCGCAAATTATACAGAGGACAGTATATTACTCAGACAATAAATTGTACAATACATATCTAAGAAAAGAACACAGAGAGATGTCAAATCTTACATCAACACCACATACTTACAAGAAATTACTAACTTATAATCTCACTCGTACAAGCATGCAACAATTGCAAAGGGGAATTACGGTGTTACCTTTCCTCTTAACAAATAGTTGACCTTTCACTATGAGATGGAAGTTCCTAGTCTGGATGCAACAAGGGCAGGAACAAGCAATGGGAAATCCCACAAATCACGGAAGAAAGCTGGTATTTTTCTCTTGAGAAAATCAAGGACGCCCAGATCTGCATGTATGAGATGAATCTGACGTGATGAGATGGAGGAGATGGAGGAGGTGGAGGAGATAGATGCTGCAGTGATGAGGATTCGTACCAGGGAGGAGCAGATCGAGTGCGGCGGCAAGGTCGTCCTCAGCTGGATCTGGAAGGGGAGAGAGAAGGGCTCTCAGCCATGGGGTCAAGACTGAAGGGGTGGGGGATTTTTGGACTGAGGACGAACAGGGAAGCGATGACTTTTATCAGTTCGCGGGGACTTTTGTGGCTCAGTTTGCGCGCCGCGGCGAGTGTGGCGGACGAAACGAGCGCCACACTTTTTGGCAAAATTTCAGCGACGGACGACCCTTGACGTTGTGGCGAGCCTAACTTTTGTTCAAAACCAAACGCACGCCTAAGGGGCTGTGGCACGCCTCACCTTAGGCGTGGCATGCTTAGGTTGGGATCCAAACAGCCCCTGAGTCTCCAACCAAACAGCCCCAAAGTGATCCAGCAGACCGTCACCAACTGAGGTCAAAGTGTCTTGCATGCGGCAGGCCACTCTTTTCTGTAATTCTATTTTGTGTGATGTTTTCCTTTCCTTCAGCTTGCTTGAACTTGTGTAACTTATCATGGTGTGGACCTTTTCATGTTATCTATCAGTAAAACTTATGGTCGGTTCAGTATCAGTCGTTTAGGCCCCATTTGGTCTGCAGAAATTTTTATAGGTCTGGTTTCTCTCGGAAAAATAATCTATGATGTGTCCGATTTGAAGGAACGTCCTCGCTCATTCCACAGAAAAGTTTACCCATCCTGTACTTTTCACGGGAATGAAAAAATCTACTGCAACCCAATGTTTGGGCCGAAGCCCAATGCAAGGTGTCAGTCGGCCGTATTTAAAAATCCTTGCATGTGAGTGTCAAACGGGCGGCCTGCATGTACAGCTAAACATTTATATTTTCATATAGTTGGAGACAAATGCATTCACTCGCTTTTATCCTCATATTCATTGGGTTTTACTCGTTCACGTGCAGCAAAATTCTACTCCTAATATAAAAGCATTTTTTACACTAAATTAATGTTGGAAATATCGTTTTTACACTAAACCTAAGTTGAAAATGCACTTATATTATGATACGGAGGAACTACGTCCCTGTGTTTCACGTTCCAAGGTTTCCCCTAGTCAGGACTCAGGGGAAGCACATTTCTGTGAAGTTTTCAATTCCCTTGTTTTCTACCCCCTCCGCTCCGAATGGAGCTTAGTTTTTGTTTTTTGTTCATTTTTTTGGATATTTTTTCGTTCAGTAGAACTAGAAATGCAAGAACACCGCTACCACTTTTTCTCTGATTTGAACTACGGTGGCTGCCCAGTTGAAATAGTTACAGTTTTGAATCAATCAAATTGCCGCGCGCCAGATTCAAGCCATTTACTGCCGATTCGTCGAGGGGTTTTCTGGGCGGTGGATAGAGGTGAATCCTAGTTTGACGCCCGTGGAGGCAATGCCCGCAGGGTGAGCCACTTGGGTCGGCCCAGTTCTACCATTTTGTTGCACGCTGGGTTCGTTCACTGTGCCATTTTATATGGCAAATGATAACTAGAAAACTTTCCCTGCATGGGGGGATCCTGTTTGACGCATAGGTTGCTAGTTAGCGACCGCCCTTGCCACTACGCACAGTTTGGGAAATACTTGCGGTTTTTCTCTTTCTTTAGGTTTTTTTCTACTTTTTATTTTTCGTTCTTTTCTTCCTTCTTTCATTTAAGTGTTTTTAGTTCTTTTTTATTTTATTTCTAGTTTTCATTTTATTGTACTTTTGCTTTTGTTAATTTTTATTTTTTGAAACCTTGAACATTTTTAAATCATGAATATGTTTGCACCCGCCAACATTCTTATGAAATCAAGAACATTTTTTCAAATTAGCTACCATTTTCTAAAATTCGTATTTTTCTAAATCATGAATTTTTTCAGTTTGCGATCATTTCTTACAAATTTGAAAACATATAATAAAATTCTGAACATTTTATACGAAACTAGTGAACATGTTTTGAATTGACGAACAATTATTGAAATTCATGAATATTTTTTGAATTGATGAACTTTTTTATAACTCACAAGCATTTTTTTTATTTTGCAAATATTTTTCGAATTCCGAACATGTTTTCAAATTCATGAACACTTTTTGATTACATAAACATTCATTAAAATCATGAGCAGTTTTGAAAAATGATGAACATTTTTAATTTCCCGAAAATTAATTTTTTTAATCATGAACATGTATTTAAATCACAAAAAAATCCACAAATATTTACGATTTCTTGGATATTTTTGTTAAAATTATTTAGAATCCGAATTATTTAAAGAATAAAAATACAATAACAAAAAGCAAAAACAATAAATTTAAAAAGGGTGCCCGCACTTGGCTGACCCAAAACGGGCGCGCTGGGGGCATGGGGTTGCGCATTGGCTCATTCGCCAGCGCCTAGCGCCAGGTCCAGGGAATCCCAACAACCCTTGGATCCAGACCACGTGGTGGCAATTTTTTAAAGAAAATCACAACAATTTTATGCACTACTTGGCAAGTTTCGCTTTTCGATCAGGGAAAGCTTTTGTAAAGTTGCCTTGCGTTGGAATGGCGAAGATCTTCGACAAAGTGTTGGCGCGCCGCCTTGCGCTGGAGTTGCCGCACCTGGTGGGCATTCATCGAAGCGCGTTTGTCAAAGGGCAAGCTCTGCATGATAATTTCATGATGGTTCAGAGCACCGCAAGACAGCTACAAGCACTTCGTCAGCCTGCAATCCTGCTAAAGCTAGACATCTTAAATGCATTTGATGAAGGAAATATGTCATAGAGGCAGTAATAAAGTTGTTATTTATATTTCCTTATATCATGATAAATGTTTATTATTCATGCTAGAATTTTATTAACCGGAAACTTAGTACATGTATGAATACATAAACAAACATAGTGTCTC